TACCTGGGCTTTCCTGGGAGAAATGGAAGGCTCCGGCGGAGAGAAGCTGGGCGAAGAAGGTCGAGAGGACCAGCAGCGGGAGGGAGGCCATTGTGGTCTCTGTTCTGGGCTCAGGGGGGAGAGGAAGGAAAGGGAAAATAAATGAATATCTAGGCACGCCAGGACTTGGGAGAGGCAGAGAAGAGAGGAAGCCAAGCCCCTCAAGCGAGGGTTCATCCAAGCCTGGCTCCCGAAAGAAAAGAAAGGGGTACGAAGGAAGCCGGTCCATCTCCCAGCAGCCTCTTTCACTGAAGTTCCAGCTTTTTCTTAGAAGATTTTAGGGGCCCAGAAGAGGAAACACAGGACTCCCACAGGGAGGACCAGACCCCCCCAACCCCCCCACGGCTGTTCTCCCAGTGGGATCTGCTGCTCTTCTTTGGCCCAGCCTCTCCTTCTCTGGACCACAGGCCCTCTCAGCGCCATCTCTGGAAACAGGGCAGAACCTGCTCAGAGGGACCAGCGGGTGTGTGTGTGTGTGTGTCTGGAGAGAAGCCGGAGGTGAGAAGATGTGTGTGTGAGAGAGAGAGAGGGTGGGTGGTGTGTGTGTGTGTGTCTGGGCCAGCTTCCTCCAAAGGGCCTTAATTTCTCCCCACATCCCATGGTGACCTTTCTTCACTGTCGTCCCAAGCCTTTCTCTACGGTCAATTCTGCTCACTCCATTTAACCGGAAGGCGCCCAGGATGGATCGGTGAGTGCTTTGACTGCCTTGGGCGTCTGCCAAGATCCTCGTGTCCCCAAAGAAGGCCAAGTGGGGGCCCAGGCCCCCTTGGGCCGGCACAACGTCAAACAGTGAGAACAGGGGGAGCACGGGGGGGGGCTTTCCCCTTTCTCTGGGTTCCCGCTCCCCCTGCCCCATCCCTCTCTCTGGTGGCCCTGCAACCCTCTTCTAATAACAACATTTTCCCTCCAGAGACACAACTCCTTCAAACTTCCACACCCCAGGTGTCAGACATGCAAATGAAGCCAGTGGTTGCTTCCCGGTGCCCAATCACAAAAGGAAAGCAGGCTCAGTTGATCACCCTGGGAACAAAAGGATGTTTCAACAAAAAAAAACCCAAAAAAAACCCATGTTGAGTGTGCTCTGCTTTTTAACCATGTTCCTCTAACCCACAGATGGAGGAGGAGGTTCGAGACCAAGGACTGGCAGCCACCTTGTGCACAGCTCAGCAAAATGAACTCAGATGGAAACTCTGAGTAAAAGCTCCCAATAAAACCAGACTGGCCGAGGGCCTCCTTTGTGGTTCGAGGGAAGATTTTCCCAGTCACCGCTTCTGAGCAAAGCCGCGTTTGAGTCAGTGGCTCAAGCCTTCTGTGGCTCGCCCGGCCTCCCCTGCCAAGCCTGGTTCTCCTCTCGCCGCCGCCCCCACCAGGCGAGGGAGAGGGAGGAAGGGGGACCTTCCGATTAGTCACAGGAGGGGCCTTTTAAGATTCTGCTCAGGGACCCCAAAGTCCTTCCCGCCATGAATGCTAAAGGCGCCTTCCTTTCTTCCTTTCTTCCTCCTCTCTTCTGCCTTGTTTAGATTTATTCTCCGGGAGAGGAGAAGGTCCCTCTCTGCCAAGGGGCATTCAGGAGAAGAGAGAGAGCGGGATGACACACACACACACACACACCCCACACACACAGCAGCGGCTTTTCTCTCCCATAGAATCTGGGGGGTTTCTCAACAAGTTCCCAGGCGGTTCACATCCCCCCCCCCTTTTGACTCCAGCCACGTTGGCCTGGCCTTGGTTCATTCCTCTGTTCTGCTTTCTCTCTCTCTCTCTCTCTCCCTTGTGATGCCAAGGGAGCAGAAACTGAGAGGATCAAGGCTATGGCCAAAGGAGAATTTCCTTTTGGGAGTGTTTAAAATTCCTCTGTTCTGCTTTCTCTCTCTCTCTCCCTCCCTTGTGATGCCAAGGGAGCAAAAACTGAGAGGATCAAGGCTATGGCCGAAGGAGAATTTCCTTTTGGGAGTGTTTATATATATATATGCAAAACCAAGTCTGAAAGATGCTTTTTCAGAAGGAAATGAACTTTCTGGTCTTCCTCCGTCCACCCCGGACTGCCTCCCTTTTGCAAAGCCTGGCCCATGGAGCGCTCTCGGAAGTGGGGGCTTTGCCCTCCCACCCCCCACCCCAATCAACACACGGGCTGGAGGCAGACCGGAGGAGATGAGGACGCTGAACCTTCTTTGGTCCTACCTAGACAGAGAGTCAGAGGCACACAGACCGGCTCTCCTTCCTTGGGAGGCTGCAGCTGACGAATGAGTCAGCAGGATGGTGCCCGATCCTGGCCGCGACCCAAGAAGTCTAAGAATGGGAAGGAGGCCAGCCGAGGTTCGCCTCCCTCCGGAGGGAACGGCCTGGGTGGCGCGCCCCCCCTTTTCCAAAAGGCACTTTCTTCCTGGAACGTCCGAGGATTCCTAAAGTGTTGGCCACTTCCACCTCATAGGCAACTAAAATCTCTCCCAGAAGCGCCCTCCCCCTTCAAGCATCGCCCTTGACTCACAATAAGGGGAAAGGCAGAGTTGCCACGGGGTCCCCAAAGGGCCATCTAGTCTGACCCCCCCAGGGCGGGCATCCACAGCTAAAGCACTCCAGGATAGAGCCCTCCTCCTCCTCCTCCTGGAAAGAGGAAGCCAAGCCTCCCCAAGCAGAGCAAAGGATCCTGCACCCCTTTGACCATGGCGAGTTGGGAGGGGAAGAGAATTAAAGGCTGGGCGGGGGGGCTTGGGGTGTTGACAAACGAAGTCTTGTGAATTCAGACCACGATCCCCCCTCCCTCCCTTCCTCCCCCCCACCTCCAGCAACAAAGCAACCTGAGGTATAAATCTTTGGATTCGGCACCCAGGCCGAACAGAAGCTCTAAAGAACAGGATGCCCCAGAAAGGAGGCAGTGAAGGGTCTGAATGGGGCCTATGAGGTGGGCAGGGATGACCCCCCCCCTCTGTGTCTGTGCGTGAGACACACACACACACACACACCGGAAAGCAGAGCCATTATCCAGCTGGCTGCACAAAGCCACTTCTCCGTCAGGGTGGCCTCCTGTCCCTTTGGGGAGAGCAGTCCTTCACTGGAAGGGCTGCCCGGGAAGCCAAGTTTGGCTTTTAAAAGCAGGATTTTTTTTGGGGGGGGGGAGGAGGAGGCCTGGTGGCTTACAGGTTCCCATCATCCAACTGTGAGAAATACCCAAATGGCATCAGGCACCCAGCAGGCCACCCCGTATCTCCCCAATGGCCCTGGGCAATTTTGCTTAAATTATAAAAAGCACCCCCAATTATGCATCCTGTAAATTAGCCCCCCTCTTTGGCCTTCCTTCCTGGTCTCCCTATGCTATTGGGGGGAGAGGTATTAGGGGAGGTCGGAAGCCCTGAAGGAGACGCCCCAGAGGCTTGTTGTGGGCAAGAGATCCGGGCACACCCTGCCAGGGAACAGCACTCAGACACATCGAGGCAGGGAAGGCTTGTTTTTTTTGGGGAGGGGTCCTGTGCCCCCTTTCCTCTCCCCACCTGGCAAAGGCCCCCTTCCCCCTTCTTGGCTCATTCGGACCTCATGAAAGGGTCACATGGGAAGCCCTGGGTCTGTGTGGGACGGAGGCGCCAAGGTCGAGCCCCACAACAGATGCCTCCCCATGGACAATCCTTGGGAAGGGGAGGAACCCCCCCCCACTGCCGGGGGCATCCCTATTCATGACCCCCCCGGCATCCACAGGTGGAGAGATGTATCACAGACGCAAGACACCCACTCAGGATCAAAAGTGTTGTCATTGAGGGAAAAACCTACCTTCCCCAACAGCCCCCAGTCCTTCTCACTCTCTTCCTCTCTCCTTCTCTCGATCCCCCCCACCCCCACCATGTCTCAGCAGGATTGCTCCCAAAGAGCTCCCTGGAATGCAAGATACAGAGAAGAGCAGGAGCTAGCACTGCAACAACCAGACCTTTTTTCCCAGCTGAGAGAGCACCGCTTCTAATGATGGGCCGAGCAGATCACTTAGTCTTGTTCTAAAGACCCTGAGGCAAGACTTTCTCTCTGTTGGGATATTCCTTAAATATTTCCCTTTACTCTGCTGCCATGGAAGCAAAGTGTGTTGCTTTGGTGTCTATTTATATGAGCAAAGGATGGCTGTGAGGACGACTCCTTAACTCACACTGAGGAGATACAGTACAAGCAACCCAACCCACCGCACAACAGCAGATAGCAGGGAGTAGACACCGAGACAGGACAGAAGGGAAATGCAGAGAGGGAGGCTTCTGAGAGCAAATGGGGTATTTCAGAAAAGGGATGACACATAACACACAAACACACACGCACACGCACACACCTCAGTGCCTGCAACAGAGGCTGCAGTTTGGAAAGTTAATTTTAAGGCCACAATTCTCAGCAAGTCTCTCTAGGGGAGAAAGCGGCCATCAAAGCCATCTGGAGGCAAGGTTGCCAACTGATGAGAAAACAAGGGGCAGGCCTGCTCCTCTCTCTTTAGCAACCACATTTTAAGGGGAAAAAATTAGCTCATAACCCCACACTCCTCCCTAAGGCCTGAAGATTATCTCAGTAAAAGGGCAGGAGCAAGGAAGAAGGGAAAAGCTGGCAACCTCACCATCAGTTCCGAGCGAGGTCGGGAGAGGCGACCAGCACGAGTCATGCACCAGGAACACTGTGGCCCTGAGCACCACCAGTTGGGGGGGGGGGGAGAGAGAGAACATGGGATGTAGGGAGTTGTCACCCACCTGAACTGCTCCTGGTTTACACCCTTGGGCAACTGGTTAGCCACCCGGGTGGGAAGAGAGAGCTCTGGATAAGACAGAGAGGCTGCCTGTGGCCCGAGAAAGCTCCAGAGCCTCCAGGACTCACAAAACTCAAGTGGGGGTGGTGGAGTGCAGGATATGTGCTTCTGAAATGCCAGGATCTGTTCCCCCCCCCCCGCCCGGGAGGGGTCTCATCCTCAGGGTCTCCAGAAAGAGTAGCATTGCAGGGTGAGCGAAGTTAGAATCCTAGCATGCTGGGTTGGATGGGTCACCAGAGGATCATCTAGCCCAACCTCACCGCAGATGCAGGAAATGCAGGAGCCGGGGGTCCGCCTTCCCCCTTTAACCCCACATCTCCCTTTCTCAGCGTCTGGGTGGGCCAGCCTGGACCCGCTCAAGGGGAACCCCGCGGAGAAGAAGCACAGCTTGCGAATGCCCTGCGGGGGGGGGAGTCCAGGGTCCCACCATCACGCCCACCCCCCACCCCCGTGGCTGAAGAGTTCCCAGAGGGAAG